ATGGACATGTCAATATTCCTGAGGTTTGCCAACTGAGTCAATGGTTCACTCAACTTCATATTGGTACAGGATATCAAGATAGAAAGTCACTGCAAACACCAACAACTTCCCGTCAAAGAAAATTCGTTTGCAAACCGCCGTTCGCGGAGAAATTTCGACATTAATTCTGGCAGTCTTCATCAAATTCATTCCACCGTTTCGTTCTTTAGATGCGAACCACATGAAAATAAACTCATTTTATGCTACCCATTTTTGAATAAATGAAATCAGATTGTCAAATGAAAGAACAAATGTTAATTAAATTTGTAATCAATTTAATCCAATACAAACACTATACGCACATTCAGTCTTATATTTCCCTCTCACTGATGTTTACTTCAGCGGAAAATCAGCTAACCACACTGTCATGAGGTCGTCATCTCTTCTTGGCACGTGCAAATTCATTCGAAAGAGAACGAGTGTATTGTGCTGCAATAGTATAAATGACGATTTTTGTTCTTTTGAAGCTTCTTTAGAATTAACGAGAAAAACGTTTTTTTGACGATTTGTTGTATTGCATGTTTACACCACAAGACAACCTTTCTTTCGACGTGTCTTCTTCATGTTAAAACAAGAGGAAAAAAACTGCGGCGTAGAAAAAAAAAACAAAAAATATGTTCTATGGAGAATCAAATCGCCATTTGTGTGCTGCTTCATCATTACCGATATTTGGTATGATTGACTCATTGATGAATATCAGTGTGAAGCTAGCACGAAGGAGCTACCACAAAGAAATTGTGTGTAAGCTAAAAACTTTTTCCCGAAGTTTGTCTGACTCATAAAACCTAGTCCATTCGATTCAGAGTTTAATTCTGCATCGAATGGTGGTATTTTTATTCACCGGACAAACTTTGGAAAAAAGTTTAACCACATCTTTGTTTGCCTCATATAGGTCTATTTATGTTTCCGATAACTTTTTTCCAAAGTTTGTCCGGTGAATAAAAATACCACCATCCGATGCAGAATTAAATTCGGAATCGAATGGACTAGGTTTTATGAGCCAGACAAACCATAGATGTCATAATACCACTACACCGGGTATCGGCAGCCAAACGTCACGATACCCTGATACTGATCAANTCGAGTTTCGCATTAGTAAAAGGCGCAAGGATCATAGTAGCTATTCATAGCGGACTGCTGTTTCATGTGTGAAAAATGATCATGAATAATGGACATTACATAAATAACAAGAACGATGACAGTTGTTTGGTTAGTTTTGAAAAAGGTTGAAATTGACGAGGACCGTTCTCGAGACATCATTTGGAAGCACAAGTTTTATCTGAAGTATAACCCAATCAGTCAAGGGTAATCCGAGTCTCCCTCGACGAGCGTTATTTTATATCTAAACAGTATAAAAATAACTAAAATAGAATTGAAATATTCAAAATCGAATAAATCTTGAAGGAAGAAAAAAAACAAATTGATATGCCTGTTCGAATGGTTTTCATCGTTCATGTTTCGTCCTATCGATTTTTTTCTTTAGAAGAAAATCAGTTTCAAATTGGTAAACACGTCCAAAATGTTGGCAAAAAGAAAAATAACGAAAGTATAGAAGGTGCTTTTTGTTTGTCGAAACATTTTGAAGGTTTCTTTTTGTAAAGAAAACATTTTGCTGTTAAGTATTTCATTGTGTTTTTGTCATGGTTGGAAAGAATTTCATTCGGATTTTTTCCTGATAAAGTAAGGTTGGTTAAATAAATCTTTGAAAAAAATGAATTTTTACTAGAATATATTTTACCTAATTTAGCTCTTTAATAAAGAGAGATCCATAAACGATTGGGTTTATCATGATTTACTTACCTCTATAAGATTATATTATCTTCAATTCATTTCCTATTTTGGTATCACTTTTGGGTGAAGAACCTGTTTACATTCCTTCATACCATCACTCTTATCCTCATCATCTGGAACGATCTTTTCGACAAATTTTTATTTATTTGTTTTAGATTATTTCTTTGTCTTAATTAAAAGAAATCAATGTATACAAAAAATCGTTTTGGTGATATTGATTGTTCATTCGATAGGCTTCCAGCTATTTATGCTTATCAATTAGAAAAATTAGTTTCACTTGAAGAAGCTTTGAAACCAATTGAATCACAAATAGATCAATTATCTTTTTTTATTAAAACAGCTAAAAAACGTTGTCATTATCCATCTGACCATAATTTAACTCGTGATGAATCAGCTTCGATCTATATTTACACAATGGAGTGGGGTGACACTAGTTTATATCGTCTTTTAAATCAGGCATTAAGAAATGCAAATAGACAAGTTGTTAATATTTGGTTTCCTTATTTAAAATTATTTGATTGTGCACTAGAAAAATTACCAACTTTACATAAAGTTCTCTGGCGTGGAATTTCTGCAGATATAGGAAAAAATTTTACTAAAAATCAACTTGTCACATGGTGGAGTGTTAATTCTTGCTCATTATCAGTTGATGTTATTAAAACATTTCTTGGAAATAATCCAAAATCAACACTTTTCTTAATTGAAGCTTTAAATGGAAAAGATATTTCAAAATATACAGAATTTCAAAATGAAAATGAAGTTATTTTAAAAATGGGAACCGATTTTCGTGTTGAATCTAATGCATTAGATCATCCTAATGGATCATTTGTTGTTCATTTAATTGAAATTGATCATGATGATGATGGTTCATTAGCGACAACAGAAAATTCAATAAAAAAAAGTAAGTTCATTTAATTTAACCTTTTCTTTTTCAAAAATCTTTTTTTGCTTTTCTTTGATTAGAAACTAAATTTCAACAACAAGGGAAAGTTATTGCAGGTGGAAATGGACAAGGAAATAAATTAAATCAACTCTCCAATCCTTTTGGAATTTTTATTGACGAAAATAAAACCATTTTCATTGCTGAGTTCAGCAATCATCGTATTCTTAAATGCGAGTCGAATGAAAAACAAGGACAAATCGTTGCAGGTGGAAATGGAGAAGGAAGGAGATTAGATCAATTGTATTTACCAACAGATGTGATTGTTGATCAACAAAATCATTCAATCATCATTGCTGATAGTGGGAACCAACGCGTGATACGATGGTCCAAAAACCGAAAGCCAGAAATTCTTATTCGAAATATTTATTGTTCTGCTTTGGCAATGGATAAACATGGATTTCTTTATGTTTCTAATTCTATTATGAGTGAAGTGAGAAAATGGAATTTATATAACATTAATGAAAATACACAAGGAATATTAGTTGCTGGTGGGAATGGACAAGGTGATCAAAGAAATCAACTCAATGGACCTACTTTCATCTTTGTCGATAATGATCAATCGATTTATGTTTCAGATTTAGGAAATCATCGTGTGGTAAAATGGTTAAAAGGTGCAGAAGAAGGAATTGTCGTAACTGGTGGAAATGGTGCAGGAAACGATCTCAATCAATTGAAATATCCTCAAGGACTATTTGTGGATGAATCGAATCAAATCTATGTAATAGATAGTAGCAATCATCGAATAATGCGATGGTGTGAAGGTGATCGAGAAGGAGAAATTATTGTTGGTCGAAATGGTGAAGGAAATGAATTAAATCAATTGAAAGGTCCTCATAGTATAGCATTTGATTCGGAAGGAAACTTTTATGTTTCAGATAATGGAAATCATCGAATTATCCGATTTGATAAAATTAAATGAAAGAAAATTTGAATAATCGTGTGAAAATATGAATATGATATAGAAAATTCAGAACTGAGGGTGTGGATGACTTAGTGCTCCTCTTTAACTGCACACCCTCACCCTCAAGATCAAATAAACTGCAGGATGGGTGAGGGTGGGTAAGGGTGAGTTTGAAATGACGATGTGAAGGAATCCAATTAAAATAATCATTTCATGTGTCCACGAAAACATACAAGACATTTCAGTTGATGTATCCACAGAGACATCTTGAGGGTGTGGGTGAGAGTGTGGGTGTGAATGTGGGTGAATTTTCGAATAGAATTCCAACCTACTTACGATCGCAATTTCGATCCTTGCTTAAGGGATCATGATCAGGTAAGTTCGGAATAGTGTATTTTATATAGATAAATTCTCAATTCAAAGGAATATATCAAAAGAGTTATGAACCAAAGTTGCAAAACTCCCAACGATGTAGACGCTTAGGTCGAGAAGATATCATAATCATAGAAGATCGAAATGGTGAGTTTTCGAATAGAATTCCAAGCTACCTTTACAACATCCTATCGAAGGAAACTACTTTTCTTTTTCGACATCTAATAAACAGTATATGAAGTGTATTCCTTGGTTTTAGTTAAACTAATACAGCTAATCGAGATCTATTATCTGACATAAAATTCCTAGTAGTTTATCTTGGAAAAATAATAATTGCTTAGTCATATTAGTATGGTATTTGATAGTTAGATATTCCGGTTTCGACATGTGGTTTACATAAGGACAGATCCATAAGATTATACAAGAATCGTATGATTTCACTATAAAACAATTAAAGACATTGTGTATGATGATTTTCTGAAGGAAATATATAGGTTTTTGAAGGGGGCCGGATTCACGTCTTAACGCCCCCCCCCCCCCCCCCCCCCCCCCCCCCCCCCCCCCCCCCCCCCCCCACCCCCCCCCCCCCACATCCACTCCCCATCCCCAANACTTTTCAGCTTACTCGATATTCGAGCGCATGCACAACAGAACGTTCTTTGACGAAAGTGATGAACGCATAGCTATACGAGATCAATCGATATTTGTGAAATCAGTTATTGAAAGAAAATACCCTTTTCCCCCCCCCCCCCCCCCCCCCCCCGTCCTTTTTATCCCGTTGCAAAAAACCTTTAATCAAGATTTCTTAAGTACTCCTTAACAGTTGTTCTCCTTTCTTCATCCGAGTCAAAATTCTTACCACGAAGAAATACCTTTATATTTTTGAACAAGTATAGTAATAGTCATTAAGGGCATTATCCGAAGAATAGGCAGGACGATTCAGTTCAACAAAACTCACCTTATGAATAGTCAGTAGTGTTAAACTTGAAACTTGAATTCAATTGAAAATTCTTACTTCAATTGAAACAGTTCAATTCAAGTTTCAAATGAAACTTTTTAGTACTTTGTCTTGTTCCTCATCGCCCTCCCTCTCAAACACCCTCCGCAGCACCCTCAAGAATTCAATCCAAAGAATTTATATGAAATTTCAATTGAAATGCAGATTTTCAATTGAATGTGAATTTCAAGCTTGACATGTATGTGAATAGTACCGTGTACAACGTTGCTCTGGTGGATAGACGCATTGTCATGAAGAATGTGTTCTTGAGTGTTCCATTAACTAATTCTTATGGATAGACACGATTGTGAAAACTAATTCTTTCCAGAAAATAATACAATCAGTCGAGAAGAAGATCTATATCCTGTTGTAAATTCGTGTTCTGCACAATAACATGAACTAAACGTTTCATAGATGCAACTGAGATACAGTTGCACGAACTTTCCGGACAATCCTATAGTAAGAGGATCTCTATGAATAAATACTTACAAACCAACTCTTAATAGAACAACTAGGTCAGCAACATTGATCATTTTTCCCGATAGTCTAAAAACGCATAAATCTAAAGTCAAGATAACATCAACGAATGTTTCACTCTCATTGGATGAAGTCTAGTCTTCTGATATGTCATAATTCAGAATTCATGCAAATTGGTGAGAAACATAAAATTTGTTCTTTAGGAAGAATCATTTCTGTGTCTTGATAATTGGAATGTAATCCTCAAAAAATCGACTAAATTTTTCCTTAATTGAAAGGATAAAAAGAAAAAATTACATTTCTTATTTTTTTAAATTAATTAAGTTTAAAGCTGCTGTTATTGCAATAAAACTTTTCGCAATGTTGACGTCAACGAAGTCTAATCTGATGAACGTTGATTGAATAAATGTTCGGATAGCGAACATCAATATCAATCGAATCGAATATAGTAGTACCGAATTCAACAGCGATTCGTATCAGTTCGTGTAATTTATCCTAACGAGTTTGTTGACTGTTCATTAACACAGTATTCATCGATTCTGAATCATCTCAAANAAATGAAAACGCTAGCTCTCTCAGTGTGTTATACCCAATTCGACCGCACCTCTCCCACACACAGCTCTCAACCATCATCGTCTATATTAATCCTCGCAAACGATGTTTTATGCAGTTTTGAGCATTTTCGAAAAAATGTTTTTTTGACCTTTGATCCTTGACCCTGACACAGACAGACAGACAAACTATTTTTTTTCGCATGACCCTCCTTTCAGTCGAGGGAATAAGTGAATTATCAAGAGGAGAAATTGTTTTGACAATTGTATTTGGTGTTGGTGGACTAGCATTCTCAAGTTTAAGAAAATGAATAAATAATGCTGACGATAAAAAAAAAATTTTTCAAACAGTAAATGTATTTCATTATCTTTATCTTCACAGTATGTACCACTAAAACCTTCTGAACAAATACAATGAAATGGATACGTTATTCTTCTATGTAAATCCATTGGAATACATTGACCATGACCATGGCATGTTGAATTATCATTCTTTTCACATATTCGGTTTGTGATTAATCATCGAGAGCCAATTTTATGTAATGGACAAAGACATATCGGTCGATTATGAGCATCAATACCAAGACATATTGAATCGGGTGAACATTTACAATGAATTAAATGTGAAATTGTACAATATTGTCCAGACCATCCTGGATCGCATTGACAAAAATTCTCATCTTGTTCAATATTTAAATATTTAATACATTTACCATGAATACAATGATGTTTTTTTGAACAATATTTAATTTCATTATTTAATGAAGGAATATCAATCGATAAATTTAGAGGATGAACAGGTAAAAATGAATTTATAATTGGATATAAAAAACTTCCATGATAAATTGATGAAGTTTTATCATAAATATCAATATGTATGAAATAATTTTGAGTTAGATTTTTTGATCGTGTTGAGTAAAGTAAATGGGTACTAAATTTTGCTTCACAATCTCTAATACGCATATACATGAATTGTACATATGAATGAATAATTCTTTGATTATTATTTTCAATAAGAAAAATAATTATTTGAAATGGAATTTCTCTCATATGTGACAATAACTGAATTTTAATTGAAAAACTAATTCGTTGATTTTGATATTGACATTTCGAACCATAATAAGTATGTGGACAAAGACATACGACTTTTGATTCATTTTTATTCGACCAAACACGTAAAGGAAGTCCACGATGACACAAATGTGCTAATTCATCAAAAGACAATTTATTGACAGATTGTTTAGTTGAAATCAATAAATTTGTAGTTGATTCTTTTGTTTTACCTAATGAAAAGACTAATGTAGGCTCGAACCTTTTGACATACATTTTACAAAGCATTGATTGATAATATTTTTTAGATTGTAACCGATCTTCAGAAGTTCTATTTAATGATAGAAAATGGAATTCTTCACAATTCATCATGCCACTATCAATTGTATTGACAGGATAACAAAAATTTTGTGCAGCAATACATGTGCTTGAATTGTTTTGCGTACAGTGAAAGTTGCTTTTGACATATTGAGAACTTCTTTGACATATTGTTGGTTCATCAAGAGCACCAAGACAATCGATTCGACCATCATTTGTTTTATTAATATTTAAACATATTAAATTCTTTGTAGAAGATGAAAAACAAATGTGTTCATTAGACGAACAATTTAATAGTTGTGATTCATCACATCCNTGTACATAGTTTCAGGAATACTTTCAGTCGAGCTATATATCAGCCGATGTCCATCGGTATACACATGTATAACTAAATCTATTCCTAAACTCCTAGGTTTATAGAGATATACATCTATTTATATTCGAACTGAGATTAGTCTATCAGATGTCCATTTATAATATAAGTCGAATTAGGCAACTCATGTAGAATTTAGTATTTGATCGATGAAATTTTGATGAAAAACATACTGTCACTGTCGAGAGTTTTCTTTTATAGATTTCAAATTGCTCGAAATTGTTCGACGATATCGAACACAAAGTCAACTATGCTTCAGTACTTTTATTCAGCATCATCCATGAGTTGAGCCACTGGAGCTTTGTCAAGTTTGGATGCAACTCCAACGATGAAAAAAGCATGCCGTGTGGTGAGTTGCATCATGTATTAGTTTAAACAGTTCCTCTGTTGCTTTCTATCTGGAGAGGTATTCTAATGGAAGAATCAACCAGATCGATCATTTCGGTGACTGGATCCGTTGAAATCTGAGTCAATTCCGGTACAGTTTTCGCCGATTCCAGCAGTTTCCTTGCCACCGGAACCGACCGTGCCATAATAACCTGGGCAGGTGATGCAATAGAACATTTACTATTTGGATTTCGTTTACAGTATTATGGTGCAACACAACCAAAGTTCCAAGTATGTAGACAAATTTCGGTAAAAGTGACGATTTCGCCTGACGGTTTTGGTTGAATAATTCTGTCAAGAAAAGAACTAATCAGTAAGATCATCAAAGAATTAATACATCGATTCAGATGCATCTAGAAAAATTTTCTTCCGTGTATTCTGATTCGAATAAAATCAATAAAATAACCTCAAGTACTGTCGAAAATTTTTCCTTTGATTCAATCCGACAACAACTCGATTTATTTTCCATTTCTAGTAGATAAACTATGTATTGAGAGATTGACCATTTCTTGATTATCGAATGACAATGAATTTGAGATATTTAATTGCATTTAGATTGATGATATTGTTACTAAAACCAACAATATGAGGCGGTATCGGATAGTTCGTATTGATTATCTCAAAAGTTTGTTTCAACCGGAAACTTATCAAAGTAAATAATTGAAATAATTCAGCATCGATATCAAATATTTTCATTGTAGATGTGAAGAATATGTCGTCACTACAAATCCGAAAAGAAATCTTATTGTCTTCATTAGTCCTCGATGAAGAATTAGAGAAATTTCAAGGAAAGCGAGTTTTCGATCCCAACGACGAACATAACTTGGCTTTATCACCACCATCATCAGATAAAAATGATTCGTCAAAGAAATGAATATTCGAACCATGTGACAAACCAATTCATACTGACAAGAGAAAAATATCTGATGTACTTATAAAATTTCTTCGTTTGTTATTTGTTATTTTTGATTCAATAGACTAGATATTTAGATGATTAACCATTTCTTTTTCTTATCGAGCTGTATATCATGCCCCAAAGCTCGATGTTGAGAATCTTCTCATTTGCAAATGCGATCCGGTGTTTACAAGGGAACTATAGGAATTCACCCAAATCATACGTTCGAATTCTTCGTATTTCTAAACTTCTATTTCAATTCGTGCATTGTACATCGCATTATGAATATCACAAATATTTACACGAGACAAACTATCAAAGTCTGTTCTTTCCTCCTTCAAATAGATATTATCGAAAGAATGTGCTTAAAAGCTGATGAAAAGACACCATGCGTAGTGTTCTTGATTGAGATTGAAGAATTGCCTATCGCATTACCCATCGTTATACTTCAAACGCAGAAGATATTTGTTTTCAAATAAATTTTAGTGATGCTTTGGAAGATTTTTTTTCAAACAAAAAGTAAGTATTCAATGAAAGTTTCTTGAAAAACGTCAATATTCATTTCAATGATTTTCTTTTATTTGTCCAGATAAAAATAACCCTCAAAGAAGTTACGATTTTTTGGAAATGTGTTCTAATCAAATAAATCATTGATATAGTTTCTTGTTCTTTCTCAATTTACAGACATTTTCTTCTACAACCCCTATTAAAGATTGAGGAAATCATTCCAAATTGATTTCATAATGTTGCTCAACGAGTCGAAAGTTCGTTTGTTGATTTTATTATCAATTGTACAAGTTCGAGGTAAATTTCGATTGGAGAACTCAATTTAAATTGAAAATCTTGATTCAATTCAGGTTATTCATACAATCGACCAAGTCTTCCATTTGATTCTGAATGGAATCCAAATGGGACAACAATTTTGAATGGGTCAATGCTTGGATTAAATTCGTTGGATTTGTTTATTGATCAGAATAACACAATTTATGCTTCAAGTGACCAATATGGACGAATTTTGATTTTTCTACAAGGAAATTTGAGTTTAAATCAAAATATTTCATTGCATTTGATTAATTCGTCAAGTTTATTCGTAGCAGACGAACAGAAAATCTATGTTGATGCATTTTATTCATCAAATACGAGTATTGTGAACGAAATCGAATTAAATTCCTCGAAAGTGAATTCAATTTCGAGAATGAATTTTTGTCATCAATGTGTTGACATTTTCGTGAGTGAAAATCGAACTCTTTATTGTTCATTATCTGAACAACATCAAGTTATTTCCAAGTCATTAGTCAATCAATGGAATTATCTGTTAACTGTTGTAGGAACGGGAAATGAAGGATCAACATCAACAACACTTCGAAATCCTCGTGGAATTTTTCTTGATGAAACATATTCAACTTTATTTGTTGCTGATTGTGGGAACAATCGAATTCAATCATTTAAGTTAGGATCATTTCTTGGACAAACAATCCTTATAAACCAAACATTGAATTGTCCAAGTGGAATTGCATTGGATAATCAAGGTTATTTATTTGTTGTTGATTCAAATAATCATCGAATTCTCGGACAAAACTCCAATGGTTTTTGTTGTTTAATCGGATGTAGTCAATCGGCGGGATCCAATCCAAATCAACTGAATTTTCCATCAAATCTTCAATTTGATTCATTTGGAAATCTTTTTGTTGTTGATGAACAAAATCATCGAATTCAAAAATTCAGTTTAATCGTTTCTTTACGACGTAAGTTAAAGAAAATGAAAAATAATTCAGAGAATTTTCCTACAAATACAGAGATTTCGTTGTTTCTAATTCGATTTTCATTTAAAAGTTTTTGAGAAGAAAAAAAAGTGCGTTTCAATTTCAACCGTTTTTTTTCAGAATGGAATCTAACTGGAAATATGAATGTTGCGCGGACATATCATACAGCATCGGTTTTAACCAATGGAAACGTCTTGGTTACTGGTGGATCGAGATCTGGTATTTATCACAACAGTGCTGAATTGTATGATCCGTTAACAGGTAATTGGGCAATGACTGGAAGTATGTCTGCTGCACGACATCAACATACAGCATCGATATTATCCAATGGCAAAGTCTTAATTACTGGCGGATATAATAGTGATAATATTTCTCTCAATATTGCTGAATTGTACGATCCATTAACCGCGAATTGGACAATCACGGGAAATATGAGTGCCGGACGGAGATATCATACGGCATCGATTTTATCCGATGGAAAAGTCTTAGTCACTGGTGGATTGAATATTAGTAATTCTATTAATATTGTTGAATTGTATGATCTGTCAACAGGTAATTGGTCAATCACGGGAAATATGATCAGTGGGCGCACATATCATACAGCATCGGTTTTACCAAACGGAAACGTTCTTGTCACTGGAGGATTGCATAGCGGTACTTATCTCAATAGTGCTGAATTGTATCATTCATCAATAGGTACTTGGACAGGAACGGGAAACATGAATGTTTCACGAACATATCATACAGCATCGATTTTATCCAACGGAAAAGTCTTAGTTACTGGTGGATATAATAACGGTACTTATCTCAGCAGTGTTGAATTGTATGATCCATCAAGTGAGAAATGGTCAATGACTGGAAGTATGAATTCTTTACGGGCATATCATACAGCATTGACTTTGCCTAATGGAAAGGTAATTGTTGCTGGTGGATTGAATAACAGTAGCTCTATCAATAGTGCTGAATTGTATGATCCGTCAACGGGAACTTGGACAATAATTGGAAATATGAATGTTCCTCGGTCTTATCATACAGCATCAATTCTATTAAATAAGACAATATTAGTCGCAGGTGGATGTTGTTCTGCTCCGAACAGTACAGAATTATACTGATTGAAAAATATGTGGAACTTGCGCTCTCTTTTTTTTCAAAGAAAAAACAATATCTTGAGGGTGTGGGTGCAGTGAGGAGAAGATATTGACAGCCATACTGTCACATCCTAAACTATAATTTAAAAAAGAAATCATTTCGATAACTACGAGAATTTATTGGCAAATTTGTTTTTTCCACAAGTAAATGTTTATTTACGACAACAAACAATGTTTCTAATAATAAAATGAGTATGAATTTGTGTTATTTCAAAATGATATTATTCGTAGATAGTTCATTCTTGGACAAAGTGTCGATAATAGTGTAATTTCACCATTTGTTTCGATTTTTTCAACATGAACTTTTTCAATTTAACTTGAAGATTTTTTACAAAACATGGACGCAAATCTTCTCCATTTGGTTCAATAAAAGATAATGAATTAAATCGTAACGAAATAGGTTCAGGTAATGAATCAACAATTTGAATTAATTTTTCCAATAAAACTTTTTTTTCAGTAAAACCAAATGATAAATTTTTGTTAAACTTAACAAATGTTGAATCTGTTTCTAAAACTTTGTATTAACATTATTCAATGTTAATTGACAAGATTTTTCCGATCCAAATAAAGATGAAAGGACTTCATCTTGTGATAATGAATCATACCGTCGTTTTCTAAAACGAAAAAAATGTATATGAAAGAAACGAATTGTTTTCTTAAATATAGTTGGGTATTTCCATGGGATCTCAATAAAAAAGAAAGGAAAGAGTAGATAGTTAAGTATTTTGCAAAAACCAACTATTTGTCTGCTTCTCAAGTAGAAAAAAATACTCAAGTCACATTCGAAAAAAATACTCAATAAGTAAAAAGATGTTTTGATGTTCTTTGTGATTTATTGATTAGTTTCTGTCAAGTTCTTACTTGACTTCATCAGAAAAAAAAACACACAAGAAATATACAAAAAATTCATTTTACAACAGAAAAGGGATTGAGATTGGGAGGATTTATCGGTGTGAAGCTAGCACCATTTGGCTAACATCAGATAACGAAGAATCATGAAAATCTTATGTTCAAATAAATTCCCATCCGTAAAAATAGGCTCGTTCGACGCAGAATTTAATTCTACATCGCATAGTGTCGTTTTTATCGACGGGAAAACGACTGCGAAGATTCTATTTAGATTTTTTCCTCCCAGACACAAACGTATAGAAAAATCTGTATAAAATCTTCTCAGTCGTTTTCCTGTCGATAAAAACGACACTATTTGATGTAGAATTAAATTCTGCGTCGAACGAGCCTATTTCTACGGATGGGAATTTATTTGAACATAAGATTTTTATGATTTTTCGTTATCTGGTGCTAGCTATGCACGAACTTTCCGGACAATCCTATAGTAAGAGGATCTCTATGAATAAATACTTACAAACCAACTCTTAATAGAACAACTAGGTCAGCAACACTGATCATTTTTCCCGATGGTCTAAAAACGCATAAATCTAAAGTCAAGATAACATCAACGAATGTTTCACTCTCATTGGATGAAGTCTATAGTCTTCTGATATGACATAATTCAGAATTCATGCAAATTGGTGACAAACATAAAATTTGTTCTATAGGACGAATCATTTCTGTGTCTTGATAATTGGAGTGTAATCCTCGAAAAATCGACTAAATTTTTCCTTAATTAAGAAAGGATAAAAAGAAAAAATTATATTTCTTATTTTTTTAAATTAATGAAGTTTAAAGCTGTGCTGTTATTGCAATAAAATTTTTCTCAATGTTGACGTCAACGAAATCTAATCTGATGAACGTTGATTGAATAAAGGTTCGGATAGCGAACATCAATATCGATCGAATCGAATATAGTAGTACCGAATTCAACAGCGATTCGTATCAGTTCGTGTAATTTATCCTAACGAGTTTGTTGACTGTTCATTAACACAGTATTCATCGATTCTGAATCATCTCAAATCAAAACAATTTCATAATCTTCCAATTGACAAAGAAGTCTTTTTTTGCATTTCCTGAGATTTTATGTCTTCTCATTGTTGCACAAAGTCATTTCTTCGTATTCAAAAATCAAAAAAGAAGAAAAAAAACAACGTCATTTCTAATATAAACTTCACTTATATAGTTGAGGCAATGATACTTGAACAAGCGAATTAGTTTGATGCACTCTTATCCATCGCTTCTCTACCTACTTGTGTTGAGCTAAGAAGTTGGAAAAAAATTCATACTCTCCGTTGGATCAACATCCATTAATGTTACGCCAGAAATAGAATTCATGTTTTCTTATAGAAAAAGTTCTCCTAATGCTCTTTTTCATTGTTCAAAAATACAACGAGACAAATATTTCGTTCTTTGACGAGGCCAACACGTATTCATTCTCTTGAAAGTAAAATATGAAAGATAGTGTTATCTCAATGGTATAATCGTTATCGTTTTTTCGTATTGCCATTGTTTTAAGCAACTAATCGTTGATTAGAATTCTCTATCATCAATTGTCTTCTAACGAAATTTTGTGAGAAAGATTATTTGTATTTTCAACTTCTTTTTAAATCCATCAGCAAAGCAACAAGACAAAAGCAAATAGAGATATGAATGTATATACAAGACTTTTCTCAAGTAGAAGAGAAAAAATGTTAAATATTTAAAGATGTTTGTTGTTATTTTGAAATGTGTGCATATTGTTGAATAGCAGTTCGATAACGAAGAATAGTTTTATGAAATTCTTCTTTATAAAATTTCGATGGTAAAACAAAGATAACAAAAGTTAACATAGCTGGAATGAATGAAATGAAATATCCAGAAAGAAATAACCATGAATCATTTGTTGACTGCATACATTTCGATACATAAGTAAGAACTAAACGTGGTACCGCAAGAAAAACTAATATAACAGGTGAAATGAATAAATTTTTATGTTCTCGATAATTTTCACGTAAAATTTCTCTGAAATTTCGCTTTTTTTGGACATGCGATTGCTGAGCCGATTTTTTTGTTATAAAAATAATCGCAGAGATAAAATTAATTATAAATGGAATAAAAAATTGCAATGTATTTATAATTGTAATATAAGTTTGTAAACTTACTGAATAAGTAACAACACACCAGATTCGTCTTGTATTTTCCTCTTCATCAAATTCTTCATCTAAATGTCGATGAAATGGTTCAGGAATAAATAATAAAATATTAAAAATCAAAAGTAAAATCATAATTAATTTTGCTGTTTGTCGACTCTTCCTTTGATTAAAACGAGTTCCCTTCATTATCGTAACAGCTCGTTCACAAGCAACACATGCATTTAACCATTGATCCATATGAAGAAATATTCGAAGAAGATAATCTAATGAAATACATTGAATATGTAAAAATAATCGATTTGTTATTGAAGATGTTTGTGAAAAAATAAATATCCAAAATTTTAATCCAAATAATATTATTATAATCAATGTTGTCATTGATGAATATAATAAATATAAACCACAACCAACTTCACGTAATTTCGCATTTTGAAATGTTATTAATGAACAAATACCATTGATCAAACCTGCAAAGAGAAAAACAATATTTAATAAAATAATTATTTTAATTATATTTGATTGTTTTGTTATCTTATCTGTTGGTTGAATATGATAAGCTAAAATATTATCGAGGGATAAACTAAATCCACTGGTAGTAAATTTGCATCGTTTACCATAAAAACATGATTCACAAAGACATATCGTTGTTTTCACACATTCTCGACCAATTTGAAAACATTTACCATTATTTTGACATTCATTTCGTCCTGGACAATCAAAGTTCATCGTATGATTAAATCGAAAACAATTGGTTAAACGTTGTCCATAATATTCATAACAAAAACATATATGAATATTATCGTAAAAACATAGAAGATCAAACAGAGACGTTTGACATGGAATATGATAATGTTTCATACGTTGAAGAGGAGAATATTTTAGAACAGTCTGATTAAAGAGTTCATTGATATGACGACAACGATCGGAAAATTTCACTTGTTTTACGAAGTTTTGTGATTCGATATAATCTTTTTGAACATTAATTAAATAATAATTTTTCTTAGGATCTTCAATCAAAATAACATTGAAAGGATGAGACCAATTAAAAGAAATTGAATTATCTCTTAGAGAAATTGTTTTCCAAATAGTTGTTGTTCTTGGTAGAATATCTTTTGTAGTTTCGATGAAATGAATAAATATTGTTGGTGAAGTAAATTTTGTTTCAAAGAATAAATGAATTTCATTATCTTTTTTTTGACAATATTGTCCACTATAACCTTTTGAACAAATACATTGAAATGGATTTGTTGTTTTCTTATATAAATCAGATGGAATACATAGACCATGATTATGACATGTTGAATTATCATTCTTTTCACATATTCGATTTCTAATTAGACATCGAGGACCTGATTTATCTAATGGACAAAGACATATTGATCGATTTCGAGCATCAATACCGAGACATTCTGTATTCAGTGAACATGTACAATTAATTAAATATTGAATGGTACAATATTGTCCAGACCATCCTGGATCACATTGACAAAAATTGATATCTTGATCGAAATTCAAGTATTTAATACATTTTCCATGAAGACATTGATGTTTTTGTGAACAATATTGAATTTTATCGGGAGATAAAGGAATATAAAGTGCTAAATTTAAACGATGAACAGGTAAAAATGAATTGATGATTGGAAAGAAGAAACTTCCACGATAAATCGATGAACTTTTCTCATAAATATCAATATGAATTGAGTAATTCTCGGTGTGATTCTTTGATCGCTTTGCATAAAGTAAATAATTATTAAACGTTTCTAATTCACAGTCTCTCATAAATAAAAAGACAAATTGTTGAGAGGAATGAATAATTCTTTGATAATTATTTTCAATAAGATAAATAATAATTTCAAATGGAATCTGTTGATTATCTGATAACAAAACAGCAAATTTAATATTTAAACTAACTCGTTGATTTTGATATTGACAAGTTGAACCATAATAACTATGTGGACAAAGACATATGATTTGAGATTTATTCTTATTCAACCAAATACGTAAAGGAAGTCCACGATGACATAAACCTTGCAATTGAAAAAATGACAATGGTTGGAAAGATTTTTCAGTTGAAATCAACGTATTTATAGGTAAAGCATTTGTTTCTTTTAATGAAAAATATTTGCGAAATTCTTCTCGTTTGACCATTAAATGTTGACATAGTATTAATCGACGTTGCCTTAAAATGTCTTCCTCACTTAGCGATAATCCATCATATGAAAGGAAATCGAATTCTTGGCATTTCACATCACTCTGAAAATTTATCCATTCCCAGCAAAGTTCATTACCATCGAGACATGTTTTGGAATTATTTTGTGTACAATACAAATTCTCTATAACATATCGATTATTCCGCTGACATATTGATGGTTCATCAATCGCACCAAGACAATCAATTTGACCATCGTTTGTTTTATTAATATTTAAACAAATAAACTGCTTTGTACGTGATGAAACACAAAGATGTTCATTAGACGAACAATTGATTGACAATGATTGTTGACATCCAATTTCATCTTCACCATTTAAACAATTCCAAAATCCATCACAATGTGTATATAAATTATTACATGGCCAAGAATCACAATCAGTTTCATCTGTTTGATTTCGTTCATCGATTAGTTTTGGTGATAAATTGTTAATTCCATCACAAATGGATTGAAATGTAATATATAGTTTCTTTTCACAACGAGATGATTCGTCAACATAATGATATTCATAAAAATATTCACCATCGTGTGTCAAATGTATTCCAGATTCCATCGTCGGTGGTCTATCATCGTCCAAACATGGAGGTAAAGTATTTGAAGTCTTTATGACAACAGATTCGAGCGATTTTCTAACTGTTGTTTTGATCCTATATAACGAAGGAATTGAATTCAAAAGTTGATTAGAAGAATAAAATGTGTTAAAAATTAAATCCATGTAATTTAAAAATGAAGGACCAGCTACCGGTACAGGAGATGAATTATTGTAACGATAACATTTTTTATTTTCAAATGAAATCATTGTTTGATTTCGAAAATAATTATCGTAAAACGAATTATTTTCATAACAGATGTAAGAATTTGGGAATTGATCATTGAGAAATGTTTTCATATCAGTTTTTTCATATGCAAAATAAATATTTGAAAATAAAATTGGAATAGTTGGAAAATAAAACATCAATGGACATTTATCTTCAATTATTTCAATACATTCGTTTAAGGAACAAAAATATTTACAAATTGAATCTGGTATTTGAAAAAGACATTTCAATGCCAACCAACAATTATCCGATGTTGAATTATCTTTAATAGAATATCGCGCTTCCAGTAAATGGGTATTACGTCCTGGTGAACAAGAGCTTGTTAATGGACCATTATTACATTTGGTATCCTCATATCCAATAAGTGGAGCAATATTGAGCCAACTAAATGAACCTCGAATTGAAGTCCTTAGTTGATATAGTGAATCATTTACGTTGACTTGTGAACAATATTCTTCATCAAATGGATAATCAAGACAATCATTTATTCCATTACAAATTTCAGTCCAATCTAAACAAGATGGATATGGACCACGATGACATTGTAGATGAATATAACAGGTGAGATTTGCTCGAAAGCTAATTATCAATTGAGAACGATAAAAACGTCGCATATATTCTTGAAGTGTATAATCTAAAGCATATTGATCAAATTCATACTGACATTTTCGACCAAATCTTGGTAAAGTACAGTTATAATAAATTTCTTTTCCCATTGTTTTATCATTTGATATTAAATACAATTCATATCGTTCAATAAGATCAATTGGTGATGACCAAAAATATAAATCTTCACCAGTTATATTTTGTTCGGAAAGTTCAGTAAAAGTAAAAGATGAAAAAAACTGATCAGGTTCGACATGAAATCGAGGTGTTTCTTCATTCATACAAAAATTTATGATTTCATATTCACGTACCCTTTCTAACATATTTATGAAACTAATATTTGTATGTAAGCAATTATATTCTAATGTATCATCACCATTGTTATCCAATTCATTTCCATAAAAGAAATTCAAATTAGATTTAACATAAACCCAATGTAAAAGAATAAGAAGGAATAAATACATTGGAGAAAACATTTCATTTCAATGACAAAATGAATGCTTTGAGAAAAGAAAAGTATTTTAAAGGAATTTTGTAAAATGAGTGAGTTTATTCTTGTTATGATGTCGACAATCTTATCAATAAAAAATAAATGAACGTTTTTATTTTGAAATTTCCTGTGATAAACTTTTATATTTAATCAAATCTGGCATAAATTTATTTGAAACATGAATAACATAAAAAAATGATGATAAAAGAAAACTAAAATATAATTATGGATTTGTGAAATCTACTAAGTGATATATAGATGATTCTACCAATAAATTATGATCATCAGGAATGATACTAATGTCAAGTTTTTGTTGCTTTGTAGTTATGAAACTGAAATAAAATAAATATGATGTCTCTAACGACAATGAATTTTAGTAATGAGTTTGAAAATTTGAATCTATGTCATAAATTAATTCTTCTAGTTGAGAGACGAGATTTCAAATCTTTCATATAAATGAAATCCATAAATTTCTTCAGTTTTTTTCTTGAGAGATACATAATGAAAACAAGTATTTTATTTCATTAAATCATAATCATTTATATTTACCCAATTGCATCTGTTCTTTTTCCTTTGTATATTAACACAAGAATATTAACCAAATATGATAAAAAGGAAAGAACAATCATTTTCGTATAAAATAATCGTTTTATTTTATGTTGAAATTTATTCATGTTGAGAAAGCAGATAATTATGAGACAAGATATGATTTTATCAAATGCACAATAATTATTGGCGACTTTTTTTATCATTCTGTGCAAATTTTAAAAATCATACTAGTGAAATAACTTGATGACTATATAATATATCCACATTCAAAGTACCACGCATTGCAAAGATACAGACGGCAAAATTATCAATACGCTTCAAATTTCTCTCTCTCTGTCGCTCTTTTCTTTCCCACTATGCATAACACGAAACGGTAATTTTGGTTATATCTCCTTATGTAAAACAACTGCTAAAGCTAATTTTTTCATCGATATTCCTTTTCAAGTTCAGACGTTTATCTATTAGCCTTATTTTCATCCTGAGATATATTCTGAACTTGAGATATTTAGCCTAGGCTTTCCCATGTAAACATTTTTTTGAGTCAAAACGCAGCGTGGATGAAGCATTCCTGGCTTTTTGACACGGTTGAAAAAGACGTTGCGTCTAGACGCGATCAAACAGAGATGCGCTCAGGCGCGTCTCACGTAAGCAAAAATCAATTTTTGACTATTTCAAGAGTATATCTGATACAACAGCGTCAAATCCTTGGAAATGAAGATGTGTTTCTTTCTTAAGTTGTAAATGGAAGACATGAACATGATTTAAATAAACTTCTGCTAATCAATTGAATATAAACAAAAGTAGTTATTCAACTAAAAAGTACTACTTTTACATTAACCCCCTCTTAACTGATCACCCCGTCAATGTAGAGGATTTCGCAAAGTCCCGTTAGTGTTCACATTAGAGGGTTTCACTGTATATGGACCATGTTCCTACAGTATGTGAAATACTATTGCATAGTATTCACACTTTTTAGACTACAAAAATGAGCAACATACAAGCTTTATGCATCGAATCATTGCCTGATGAAATCTTCTTGAGCATACTCAGTTACTTCTATTTCGACGAACTGTTTCCACCATGGGTAAATCTCAACTCTCGAATCAATCATATTCTTCGCTCTACTCGTTCTACACTTTTTATAGCATCAAACTGATTTGAAGGATGATAGTAGCGATGACGACGAGCAAGGTGGAAAGGTGAAGTATCTGTCAAAGTGGGGTGATACAATTGCCTGCTTTAAGGATTATCGTGCAGAGCATGAAAACTATAAAGGCACCATCGAAGTCGATATTTACCAGCGTGTTAATCTGCGACGACTCTCATTGAAATATTGCTCATAGGGACAATATTCCAATATTTGTTCTGCCAATTTTCCATATTTACAGCGTCTTGACATCAGTAACTACGAAACGCCGTTTCCTTTTTGGGAACGAATTCTTTTCAAAGATAATCCTTTTCCATTTCTTACAACGATTACTGGAGTGCAGTTGGAGGAAGATGAAAATTTTCAAATGGATAAAACAACCAATACTATGATTCAACATGTTGGATTTTCTCATCAATTGAAATTACCGTTTGCACCTTTTATTACCTTCATCTCTCGTTTGCCCAATTTAATATCATTGCGAGCCAATGTGGCAGAATTTACAAGAGCTGTACTTCCACCTCAAATTANGAGCATTCGTCAATATGTGAAAAACCATTGACAAAATCTGCCGATCATAGAAGAGCAATATAATAACACCAGCTATTGTGTTTCCAAGCAGCATGAATAAGTATTGCGGACCAAAGTTTCCGATAGATGCAATCATATCAGAGCTGGGCAACTCAATTAAAAATCGGCCAACGCAATTCAACTCAACTCATTTTTTGAGTTGGATGAGTTGAGTTGAAGTGGTAAAATTTTTCTGAATTGACGAATTGAATTGAATTGAGTTGAAAATTATTTTTGTTGTCTCCGAATTGAACTCAACTCAATTCAGAAAAATATTCTATTAATTGAGAGAGACAAAAATTTATTTATTAAAATTTCATCAAGATAAAGTGTTGTGTTGTGTTCTGTTTAATAATGTTTTATTGTATTGTGAAACGTAATTTTCCTAATCTCGTCGTAGAACAACCAAGGACCAACCAGGAATTTATTCGAAAGATCTTCTGCCAATACGTATTTAAGATTCTCTTGGTTGTCGTTGAATTCCTCTATGGAATCATTCAATCGAGTATAAGAAAGTGACATTTTCCAGCAGAAAAACATGAACATAACATAGCACACAGTTCTAATGATTAATCAATATGTGCTACTCTTCGTGTATCCTTGGATTTTGTCCACTATGACTTTTAATTTAAAAAATAATTCACCATAGATATAAGGTTATTCGATCAATGTTGTATTCTTCTAGTGTATGTTCAAATGTCCCAGGTTATTATGGCACGGTCGGTTCCGGCCGGAATCGACTCAGATTTCAACGGATCCAGTCGCCGGAATGATCGACCTGGGCGTGTTGCTCATGTTTACCACCGATAAAAAAATTGGGTTTCAGTTGAACTTGATACGCGAGTGTTTTAACGTAAAACGTGGCTTTATTTCAAAATGACCCGAAGAACAGCGGTAAATGGAGAAAATCAAAGGAAACACGTGCAACTTTACGCGAGAGAACACAAAGAGAAAATACCGATATATGTTAATGTGTACTTTCTGCATTATAAATCAGAGTCGAATGAAACAAATAGACGATACTATTTCAAAATATATATCACACTACGTATACAGAGAGAACAAGCAAATGAGAGGTATTTTCATTAGATTAATATACACTTCCTTCCGACTTGAATGAGAAATATCAACAAAATCGATTTTCTACTCCGTTCATTTGTCGTGAAGACGAACATAATTAAAATCAATTGATTGAAACGGATGTTTATTTTATTTGTGTGTTTCGAATATAAGATGAACCAAAAGCGAAAAAATAAAAAAAAGAGAATGAATGGTGTTTCTGGTTTGTTTAATGACAAAATATGTTATGGTTTGTATTGTTTAAGAAGATGTTGAGAAAACGAATTAATATTTGATGCACCTCGAACTTCATCGTCAAGTAATGGCAATTTCACCACATTGAAATCTTCATACAGATCATCAATCTAATCGAGAAAAGGACATTAAAAGCATGAAATCTTTGAGAAACACAAATACTTGTTCGATATATTTTTGTTGAAGACGCATTCTTGATGTACAACGACGACATGAATTGACATTTTCACCAGGTGATGGGAATAACACTTGATTAACAATGATTGAATGTGTATCAATATGACATTTAGCTAATTCTTGTACTAATCTTTCTGTTTCATACAAAGATAAAAACTCGGGAATGCAAACACAAACAAATGTTGTTAAATTCTATCGAAAAGAGATTTAACTTGAACATGAATATGAAAAATTTTACCGCATCTTGAAATTGCTCCATAACTTGTCGAATCACAGCTAATGTTTCTTCTAATTTACTTGACATCAAATCTGCGATCATGTTATCCATTCCAAACATTGATGAAATCTATTTTCAGAAGTCAAAAATAAAGAAATTATCCGTTAAAAATGATCTACTTGTGTCAACATAGGTCCAACTTGATTTTTCAGTCTTAAAATCTTGTCAAGACCTTTCTCAATAGCTGCAGGAAATGAAAGTAACCGTAATGTATGACCTGTTGGTGCTGTATCAAATACAACAACACTAAAATTCATATTCTTCACTAATCTATATAGAGAAGCATTGAAATTCGATATAGAAACTGAATTCATTCGTACTTCATCACTTCAGAAAAACTAACAGCTTCATCGATACCAGGAAATGATGAAAGCATTTCTTGAAACATCGAACGTCCAACTGTCCATAATTCTAAACAGGTCAAATTTCTTCTTACAGAGAAAATTCTTTCTTTGTCAATGATGAATTCTTACCACTTTCTTCGTTGTCATCGGGTAATTCACTGATGCCACCGGATGGATCGATTTCCTACAAAACTTTCTTTGTCAACATGAATTCCAGAGAAGATTTGTTCAAACCATTGCAAAAAGATTGTCATATCCATTGACTTTTGTTGGTTTCTTCGTAAATTTCTGATTGAATGCATCGGATATGTTATGAGCTGGATCAGTACTTAAGATGAGTACTGTTTCACGAACTTTCGATAACAGTGATGCTAAACTACAGCTAAAGAACACTTGAAAACATTAATACAATGAATTGAAGTCGAAGGTTTGAACGAACCTGCATGTCGTTTTTCCAACTCCACCTTTTCCTCCAACGAAAATCCACTTGAGACTTGTTTGATCGACGATAGTTTTTAGACTTGCCTCAGCAATATTTGGAACCACGGCCACCGTTGACGACATTTTATGGAGAAATGAGGAATGAATATGAAATCGAGATATGTTCACATTCGATTCGTACTTATTATCACCTTATGACGTTCGACAGCAAAACCGAGATCATCATATACTGACCTCTACAGAAAATGTGCAGAAAAGAATCGATATCTGAGGAGAAGATTAACAAATATGGATTACTGGAGAGACAAAACTTCGACTTTTTCACTTGAACTCAGATCTAGAAGATGTTGAGCAGAGCGGCACATTTCTATCATGTCGAGAAAGACCTTTTGGTTGTTTCCTTGATAAATGACTTAGTTATGGACTGTTCTAGACAAGTTTACATAATATAAATGGAATTTCCTTGTACGCATTCGAGTTCCACACATTGGTGACAAGGATTTTCTCGGTTCTAGTCGACTGATTTCTTTGAAAAGGTTATTTTTATCCTTGATAAAACGTTTTTTTCAAGGAGAATTAGAAAAGAAAAACAAAACGAAATGCTGTTTGTTTTTTGAAAAAAATTCATTTGATCAGAAGAGATAATTCTACACTTGAATTTCAAGCAAAAATCAATCTGAACGATTCAATTTTGTTAATAAAGATGTCGCTAATCGAAAAAGAAATGAATTTTAAAATGAGAATTTCTCGAAAATATTCTTTAAAAAGAAAAAATGAAAATAATTTTCACAAAAGTTTCTTTGAAACGAAAAGAAGAGGTTCGATAAGATGATGCATGGTATTTGTTTACTGTTGTTGTTTTGTTGATATAATAAGGTGATTATCTATTGTTCGATTCGTTTTTTTTGTGTCTGTGTTGAGAAAAAAACAAGTGTGATTATCTTATTAAAAATGGAAGATGCGAAATTAATTGAAATCAATGAAAATGGTTTAAACAAAAGTGAAAATCATGAAGAAAATGGTCGAAAAGAATCCGATGATTCTTTGTTTAATTTCGAAGACGATGATGAAGATAATAAACATGATGATGATAATCAATACAAATGTTCATTATGTAAATCTTTTTACAATCAACCGAAATTCTTATCCTGTACACATTCATTTTGTTTACAATGTTGTGAAAAACTCTTCGAAAACAAAGATCAAATCAAATGTCCAACGTGTCAACAAATCACCGAATTGACTAATTTAAATCAATTAATTGATAATTATGTTTTAATCCGTGAAATGGAAGAATTCGCATTAAAAAATGGTTCGATTGAATGTCGTGCATGTACATCTAATGACGTTGGTGTTGCACATTGTTCAACATGTTCATCATATTTGTGCGCGAAATGTTGTCAAGCTCATCAGTATATGAAATGTTTTGAACAACATCAAGTGCGTCGATTATCTCAAATCTCTACTGATGAACAAAATAGCACACGAAAATGTTCGATTCATTCGAACAATGAAGTGAAATTTTTCTGTACAACATGTTCAATTCCATTATGTGATCAATGTTTAATATCACATCCCTCACCTCAACATGATGTGCATAAAAATCAATTCGAACAGATCTATGCAGATTTTACCGACAAATTCCATCAAGTCGATGAACAACGATCGAATGCTTTAGCACAGAGTGATCATCAATTAACATCACTACAACAGATTTACGAGAAAACGAAAAGTCAAATCGATTTGGCATATGAACAATATCAACAGATTCTCAATCAAGTGTACAATGATTGTTTATCAACATTGAATAATCTCCAACGTGAAGAAGAAATGCGTTTAATCGATGAATTAGAAAGTCTTCAGAAAGGTTCGCAATCATTTGATGATAGTCGCTCGTTATTTAAACGTTGTTTATCGAAATGTTCATTAAATGAATTAGTGCAATTGAAAACGAAATTATTCGATGAGAAAATTCAATCATTTCAAAAATTATTTCAATCCGACAAAACCGATGAAACAAATTCCGATAAAATTATTCAATTTGTCAGTACACCAACACAAGATTTTCAACAAATTATCAAACTTCATTTTGGTCAATTAATTAAACCACAATCGAAAACAATTTCGTCACCAACGAATCATCAATTGAATCAACGAGGATCGTTATTATCATCAGTAAATGGCGATTCTGCTTCATCATCATCAGGTGTTGGTAGTATGGGTGTTGGACAAGTCTCTTCACGTGGAACAATTTTATCCAATGGTGTTTCACCATCAGGTGCAAATCGTGAAGATTATTTTGGAAATAATT